GGGGGGGGGGACTGGACAGTGTTCATGGGCTTTAATAAGCATTCTAGGGCCTGCTTAATAAATGATAAAAGGCTTTATGCCTTTAACGTTTAGGGCTTTTAAGAAGCCTTTTTTGTGTTTTTTTAAAATTAACAAAATGCTATTTTTTTCTATAACTTATGAATGACATTGGTATTGTTTAAATTATAAGGATATTTGGTTGCCAATTTTTTTAATTATTTAATAAAGCTTTTAGCCTTTCAAAATTGCACCTGGGCTAAAAAATTTCTGGATCCGCCAGTGCATGCACGCATGCATCGTTAGTTGTCATGTATGTAATTCCTCTTAGCTCAACTTTAGAAATTAGGACTTGGGTATTTGCTAGAAAGTTGAAGTACATTGAAGAGCTTATGAGGCTACAAAACCAAGATAATTTGTGCATTCATTCATAATGGGCATCATTAGAAAAATCAGCATTTGCATCACAATACTTTGTCTAGATGACTAGTCATACATGCCAAGTATTTTCAGCACATGATTTTTAATCAAGGCACATGATTTTGCTTATTATAAGTCTAATCATTGGCTGCCAAGTGTCCTTTTGACACGCCAAAAAGGCTAGGGCTAGTTTGGACTCACCAACTCTCTCATTTTACATTTTTCATATGGGTTTTTAGAGAGAGAGAGAGAGAGAGAGAGAGAGAGAGAGAGAGTTCTAGTGAGAGATTTGTGTATAAATTAAGTTTTGCTTTTTGGGAGAAAGGTTCATGGGTTCTTGAATTCCTTTTGGGCTTTCATTGAAGTTTCATTTCTCAAACTTTTTTGTTAGGGATACAAAGTTTTTATCTCTCATCTCTTTCATTTTCACCATTTTGGAAAACTTGGTTTTCTCTTTGATTTGTCTGAGAGTGTTCATGGCATAGAAATGAGTTTTCTAAATTTCATTTTAAAAGCTACTTCTTTTTTAGAAAATTTGAACATAGCTTTGCATATCAAAGTTTTAATCTCTCTCTCATCTCTTTCCTTTGCACCATTTTGCTCTTTGGTTTGTCTGAGAGTGTTCATAACTTATGGATATGAGGTTTTCAAATAGCTTTTGAAATCTACTTCTATTTTCGAAATCCACTTTGTGGGCTGCATAACTAGTTCTCATTTTCCATTTTTTTTTTCATTGTGCAAGGTTTCCATGTGAATCATTATATTAACTCTTATTTATTTTTACCACATAGGTAAATATTCATAAGTTAATACTTTGAACCCAATAAATAAATATGCAATCTGGGCCAATTTCGTGGCGTGATTTGCAATTGGGACGACATGGACATTTTGACTCAATTTAAAATAGCACATGTAGTGTAAGCCAAGAACATATCTATCATAACAGGCAAGGATTCGCAATTACTTGGAATCAAATGCAACAAAAATTTTGATTAAAAAAAATAAAAATGCAACAATATGATGTGATATGTCTCCATAAATTAGTTTTGATCAAGGTTGACTATGGTGAGTACGGTGTACTTATTAAAATTATATTTATTTCACAATTCCACATATCCTTTTTGGTAATTTTATATTAGAGTAAATTAATAATTCAATAAATACTTTGGTAGTAAGGTGTACTCAGTTAATTTAAAGGCTCGTTTAACAACACTCTTAAGTTTTTACCTAATGAGATATTTATTAATAGACTATGATTTGAATTGTGTAGTCGCTCAGCATTTGTGCCGCAATTACCTCAAACATATTAAGGTTTGTTCAGCTACAGCTTGTTTGGTGGGCATAATTATAGGTCAGGAAAAAGCCTGTATCAATAATTATGATTTTACGTATGGACAATTCACATCATTCACTCAATTCCAGAATTAGCATAATCCTAGTTAAAATATTTGGTGGCCTTAAAAAACCTGAATTGGACTACCAGTCCTTCTAATTATAACCACTCTTCTAATAACTTACAAATGCTAAGAACTACCAGTCAACTTAATTTCTTCCTAGGATAATTAAGAGATACTTAATATTCAAAAAATTTATTCTCAAATACATCCTGACGCGAGAATTCAAACACACATACATAAGCTGATGTGAGCATTCAAAATCATTAGAGAGAGTATTGAATGGTCAACATGTTTCAAACTACGTACAAAGAAAACGAACAACACTTGAAAGTAGTGAAATCGACATTTATTTTTATACACCGACGTGAGCAACTCTCGATTATCTTACACATTT